GCAGACAGATGGAAAGAAATAGGATGAGACTGGCATAGATGGAGCAGGCTTGTTAAGGTGGCAAAAGATCGACATGGTCTGTAATTCCAACAGAAAAAAATTGTCACAAATGAGAAAAATTAATTTTAATCTATTAAAACATACTTTGTTGCACTTGAGTAGTTAAATTTTAGCATTGTTGTCTACAATTGTTATACATTTCCTTTGAAACCATAAATGAAATAAAAAATATGAGCTCTTATGAAGTAGTTACTAATTATTCCCTGAATATCGGACAGAATATTTCATTATTTATAACGAAATGAAAAACAAATGAAATAGGACTGTGCAATAAAGTACGTGACAAGCAATAAGGACTATTTAGTGAAGAATAATGGTGTGAATTGAATACAATATATCATCAGTTTATTGCAAAAAAAAAATCATTAAGCAGCATTTCATGAAATAAAATGACTTTTTTTTTATAGACAAATAAGATGAAATTCAAAAAAAACGTCCCTAAAAGTTTTGCTCCATCCAAATTGTCCTTTTGATACAGAAGCATTTCTCCACTGTCTGCGCAATACTTGAGGAACTAGCCCAGAAAATGGAGAAGAGGCAAGTAGGGAAGAACCACCACTATCGAGACCACTATTCATGTCAGAATCTGAGAAGCAGTAGGAGGAGATGAACAGTAATTAGTGTAGGCCACGATGGCTGCTGAGCGATCAGGCAATAACGAGATTGTCAAGGTGTAGCCTCATCAGAAGGTGCACAGCTATGCACCAAACTTCATCATACAATACCATATTATATTGTTGCTACAAATACATACATTCTCTAAGAAGGTATGTATCCGTAAAGAAAATAAAAGAGAAAGTATTGGGTTGGCAAATAAGTCTTTTCAGTTTATTTGTATGTCACTATGATACAATTCTTATTTGACGAATTAATCCCTAAGGTGGATTGTTTATCCTGTTTGTAATATGTCAACAACTATATCTGTTAACTCTTGTTGAAACTAGCTTAGTATTGCGTTTGCTATTGCACTGTGAATATGGAAGAAAGTATTATTCATTACCGACATGTTTTGTTGTATTATTTTAAAAAAGTTAAGCGTGGCACAGAAGCTCATAGAAAAATTTGCAGTGTTTATGGGGATGATGCCTTAACCAAAAACACCTGTCAAAATTGGTTTGTCAAATTTTATTGAGGAAATTTTGACATCAATGATGCTCAACATCCAGTTGCCCAAATGAAATTGAAACAAGCAATGTTCAAGGCCATTGTTGATCAAAATCCCACCCAATCAGTGCGACAGATTGTTATGGCCCTAAATGTGTCGCACACAAGCGTAGAAAATCATTTGCACAAGCTCGGCTATGTTTCCAGGCCTAATGTCCGGGTGCAGGGAAGGGAGAGGAGCAAATTGATGTGTTGCTATAATAGCTTTGCTAGTTATACTCCTTTTATTCCTAATGTCTAAAAATCCGCATTATATATTATCGGTTTGTTCAATATTCTTCAATGAAGATCAGTAGTGCCAGTTTCTGTTTTTTTGTCAGACAATTAAAAGGATTCATTATTGGGTGTGACGGATCAATACATGTGTGATAAATTCAATATTTTGTATCTTTTCTCATCATGGTTCAATATCATTGATTTTTTTTTAAGGATTTGATTTACTTTAAATCATCATGCAAACAATCCACTATGAATTGTATGCTTTTGTTTTCATAACTTTTTACCAACTTTTTCTGGGTGATATACTTATTTCTTGAGATAGCAACAAAGATAACTTAAAAAAAAAGTTCAACTATTGGTTTAGATGAAGTATTAAAGGAGACATGACATACCAACAAAAACACCTTTGAGAAAGAATACATTTAGATAAAGGTAACTTTCATTCAAACCTTTATTCCTGTGTCATCTGTGAAAAGTCCTTATACAAATTTTTTTTTTATTGTTGCACTAATTGATCTGGCTTTATAAGAAAGAATATTTCCTCTTTGTAATAGCCATGTACCTTAGCACATTAAATACACAGAAAGAGAAAAAATTGTGTAAACACCATAACAGGCAAACTATAAACAAAATGCAATTTATAGGTACAACAAATTTATATTGTCATTATTTATGTAATTTTTATATTTTATTTTATAAATTACATAATCCAGCTGGATCTTGAATAAGTTTGTATTTTCTATTCATCATAATTTTACGTAGATTCTACGAATACTTTTTCTTTCTTGTTTATTTAATTTGATAAAGAATACTATGTATTTTCCAGCTATTAATGAAGTTTCAATTAATTTTGTACATTTTTAAAAATAAAGTTCTTATATAAGAACATAAGAATTTATGATGAAAAATTAGCAGATAATTCAGCTAAATTGGTATCAAATAATGATTTTTAGTCTTTTAGTCTTTTGAATATTTGCTAACTCCTATTCTGTATATTTAAAAGTAAAAAATCTAACTTACTCAACAATATATAAAATAAATACAGTAAATCATTACATAATGTATACACTAGAAATTCTGAAATGACGGAGTAGTTAGAAAAATAAATAGATTTTTTAGATCACAAAGCTCTACTTAAACTAATATCGTCACCTATATTCCATCAGAAACTTTCATGATTTTTTTTTTGCCATAAATAGGTTATAGTTAAAATTCTAGGAAAAGAATAAAATTAATAATGGAACAGCAAATTAATAACCAATAAAATAAATAAATGCTTATGATGCATTTACATTTATAATTCAATGCTATGTTATTACTTTTTTTCATTGATTTTAATTTTTTTCAATAACAGATTTACCCTCAAGTGGGTAACAATTATATGTAGTAGGTTACAAACACACCATATTTGAAACAGATCAAAGTAATACATACATTAATACATTAAGCATACATATTTATAAACAATACAATATAAGTTAATTTTGTTTAAAGAATGCAAATTTCTTGAACTAGTTGAAGAACTAATAAAATAATTCATAACTATGATACCTTGAAGTATTATACATCTTACATTTTGGTTATGGGTGGGAAAAATACTCAAAATAATTTTTTTTTCAATTATAGAAGTGTACACAAACTCAAAAATGTAGCATATGATACATAAAAAATAACATTCCTTTTTTTTTTCTTTTCCCTCTTTCTCAACTCTATATCTCCAGGTATTTGCATAAATTATTACCTTCAATAATTCATTATTTGTTGTACATTCTCAGATTATTGATATCATCTGCTTATGTATACTGGTTTTCCCAGTACATAACCATGTTTCTTTACATATCCATAAAAATCAGAATCTTCAAAATTCACATAAGTCTTCTGCAATGTATGAATTACATTTCTTTTAGCATTATGTAAAGGATTCCATGCTCCTTTAACTAATGAGTTATGTCTTTCAATCTTAAGTGGGATATTTACAGTAAAAACTGTAACTTTTAGACTTCTTAAAACTGTTCCATTTACTATAATTGTGTAATTAAATCCAACTACCACATTTTTACAAATGGTTTTGTTCTCATTCACTTCAGTAATGGCATAGCTTTCACATTCTATAATATCAGCAAATGGAGGATTTTTATCTGTCATTCCATGGACTACATTTTTATCAAAAGTAAGGAAACCAGTTTCATCTTTTAAACATACAACATGGTAGCTGATGTTAACATCATTGATATCACCAAGAAACTCTATTTTTTTTAGAATATTCAGATGATGCTGTAAATGGAACTCTTTATTCAACAAACATTGCTCTTCATCCATAAGAAAAAAACAACTTGATGTCTCATCATTGAGAAATTTTAAAGGGGCTTTACTGCAATATCCATTACCTTTGCTAAGCATATTTGAAAATATATTTATGTTATGATAAAGCCCTTCATTATCCACTAAGAAAATATTTGAACCATGTTTATATTTATTTTTAGCAATATTATTCAACGAATCAATTATTTTAAAACTATAAATTTGTTTATTTCTTCCTTTTAGAATTTCAGAGAAACTAGAAGATGAAAAGTTATCATTGTTCTCATAAAAATCACCAAGATATGGACTATTTTGATCATGAAGGCACAGCAAGGGATTTCCCAATGAATTCATTGAACCCAAATTTCCACAGTCTAAATAAGAAAATTTGTTATCATCTTTATGCTCCTTGTTAGAACATGTAAAACTTCGTTGTTCTAATTCTGAACAGTCCTAGAACAAATGAATTATTAATTGCAAGAACTAATATTTATCAAGTAAATTTATTATTAACATCTGCCATTAAAATATAAATCCAGATAAACCTGGTCACTGCAACAATTTATATCACAAAATTGTGAAGTCATATCACATGAAGGGAATGCATTAGAACTGTCCCTAGAATAACTGTCATCAGTGTCTTCAGCTTTTGTTCTTTCATAGTTATTGGGGTGCAATGAAGAAACAATTGCCAGTGAGCAACCTATAATAAAGCCGTTAAAAACATTATGATTATTTAAATTATATACATGAATAAAATTTCAATTACTCACAGGATTGCAAAAATATAAAATAACTCTTCTCTTTCATTTTCTTGTTAAATAAAGTAAACATAATAATAACGGTTCGTTTCACTAACTATAGGTTGGACTCATAAAATAATCAATAGTCAAACCAGTTCATGAAAGACAGATGTGGGGTGCAAGAACATGTCAACCATGACGATTTTAAAAACAAGAAAGCGGAAATAGGATTATTAGTTCTTAAATAAGGTTTGAAAAATAAAACACTTTCGGAATAGTTCTAATATAAATTGTCTCCACTCTTCAATTTTTATGTGTAAATGTTTTTAACATTTAAAATATAACAACTGAAATGATCCATTTATCTTTAAGAGGTAGACAGAAAGTTATTTTTTGTAAATAAACTTTTCTGTTTTTAATATTAAAGTTATAAAAAAAATCCTACTGCAGAATTTAACAGATCGACATAAAATTTAACTAAATATTCTTGGCTACACTGTTCAAGCCGACCATGGGCCTTTAAACACTCAAATAAGTTAACAAGCCTTGAGTTTTGAAAGATTTCAGTTTGTTTGTTAGGGAACTGTTCTGTTCGTAAATATGGTGGTTGAGGAGAAAACGTAAGTGGCAAAACACTGTAATGTTTTAATGCCATTTATGCATGTTTAATTATGAGAACGTGGATTTGTATTGCAATCATCGGTCTTTTGAATGAAGGACGCCGCTATTTGTTTAACTGTGTTAAATTTCGTTTGTTCATCTTATAATACCTAAATAAGTATTAACGTTGAACTACCTGGCTAAAATACATAATTAATTTATTACCTAAGCATTTAGAAAGATCATAATTATTGAATGTTTATTCCATCCCTGGAGAAAAAAAAAAAGAAAGTATTGGAGCCATTAATTAGACTAAGCATTATTTTGTTTTATCTTTGCTATATATTTTTCAAATGTGTTATTTTATGATCAATTTAACCATTAATAAAGCTGATGCAATTTATTAGTCATACCATTTACTATCAACTGTATTCTTTTGGTGTGGCTAACCTATTTACTCAGTATGTATCCTTAACTTATTGATATTTGTTTAAGAGTTGATTATCTACTGTAAACTTTCTTCTCTTATGTTTATAAATGAACATTCTCAGATTGTTTTTGTGTGTTTTGGAACAAAAAAAAATTGTGTCAAATCCATTATAATTATAATTATAATTTAATCTGACTTTAGACTACATGCGAAAAACACGGTTGGATAAGATGGCTTACCATCCGAAAGGAAGCTATGTAAATTGAAATAAATATGGTGAAGACATAAAACACAGCCTTATTTTATAATAATTGTGTCAGTTTCGAAACATCTGTGATTAGTTTTACGACAATGATAAAAAAAAAAATAACCAAAAATTTAAGTAGTAATATTCAAAATTATTCAATTTTAGTGTTCAGTTTCAATCTTAGTATTCACGTCAACATAAGTGATAAAATAATAAATCCAGTATTTAAAAAAATGTTGATATTAAATTAAACTCAGGATTAATTTATCTTTATTTTTATTGATTGCTCATTAGGTTAATGATTTCAATGGAAAAAAAGATAAGCTTTTAGAATTTCATTATACAACACATCTGAAATTAATAAATATGCATATATCTTAGAATTTGTTTCTTTATTTATTTTTCTAAGCTATTAAGGTGGTTTTTATTAACGAAATGTTAAATTTTAAGGATATTTGCCTTTATATTGTTAATAATTTAAGATTATATCTGCACATTAAAAGGGAGTAATATGTATTTATTTTGAAAAGTTCTCATTTTTATTTACTTTTTATTGCTTCATTTTAATTACATTATATATTTATTCATCTTTATCACTATTTTGTTATTAGTTATTAAATTTATAAATAAATTAGTTACTTATTGTAACCAAGTCAGTTGTGTCACTCGTGCTTTGAATTTACATCCTGCTAAACATTTATTTAAGAAATGCACATGATACCTTAGTTTCTGCTAAACTTTCTATTATGCTCTTTTATTTATTTATTATTTTATTTATTAACTTAGAACAATAACAATGTTGTGTGAGATCCATAAGACGCTTTATATTGCTTATACCTGGTTGGGCTTGAGCTGTTTTTATTTAAATTGAGTTCTTTTCATTGTGTTTTCATGTCATTTTTATTACATATTATATAGTCTATTATAATAAAAATGTTATTTAGTGCTCGACGAAGGGCTCAGTCAAAGAGTTCAGATAGTGAAGAGTCAGACAAGGAAAACAAAAAAGAGCGTGGTAGAGAGAAAAAAAAGAAAACTGATGATGATTCTTCTTCAAGTAGTGGTAGTAGTAGTAGGAGGTTAGTATATTTTATAAGTTATTTTATATTTCTCAGAAAGAAGTTCAAAAGAAGAAAAACAATCTAATTTTATTCCAGTTCTTCTAGTAGTTCATCGAGTTACTCCAGTGGATCTTGGAGCTCTAGCTCAAGTTCAAGGTCCAGTTCATCATCTAGTTCCTCTGGTTCTTCAAGTGACTCAACAGAGCAGCCAAAACCGAAACAGAGAAAGTAAGTGATATTTTGTTGTGGAGCATTATTGTCAAAAAAATTCATCTAATTAATTAATTTTTTTGCAGAATGGAAGGCAAGGAAAAGAGCAAAAGTAAAAGTCCAAAAGATAAGAAGGATAAAGAGAAGCTTGTAATTAAAAAAGAAAAGAAACCGGCTGTGGAAGATAAAAAACCTAAGACCAAACCACCTCGATCTAGGTTAGTTTTCTTAAAATAGATCTATATATCTCACACCCACTCCAAGCATATTCAGTTCTTGTCTACCAGAGATACATAAGTTTATGAAATGTTATTACTGTGTGTGACTGAATATTACTGAATTAGTAAATCATAAAATATATATATATATATATAATAAACATTTGGTGATATCCAGTTACAAAGTATCAAAATTGAATATCCCATATATAATGAAACCGCTGTCGGTAAATTTAGTTCTGTAATAAATAATTGATTTTTTTTATTTATATATCTACAAGAAATAATGATTTGTTAAGGTAGAAATAAAAAAATATAAAAGAAGGCTAAATTAGTTTTGCATGTTATAATTATTATTATTATTATCATCCCAGCGCAACAACCTGTTACTATTCCTGGGCTTCCACCAGCCACTTCTGCCAATCATCACAGTTTCGTACGGCTGCCATCCAGTTGTTCACTCAAAAATGTTCCGAATGTCTGCTGGAACTTTGTCTACCCATCTATGCCTTGGTCTTCCTCGTCTTCTCGTTCTACAGAGAGGCTCCATCAAAAGCTTCCTGAGCAATTCTCCTTCGGTCATACATGCCACATGCCCTGCCCACCGCAACCAACCCAGTTTATCCATCTGAACGACATTTGGCTTTTTATATAGACCATTAACATCCTTGTTTGTGCTCCTCCTCCAGGTTCCACCCACCAACACTCCTCTGAAAGATTTTCCGCTCGAACAAAAGGAGGATCTATTCATCACGCTTGGTCATAGTCCACGTTTCTGAGCCGTATATTAGCACTGAGTGGATTAAGATTTTGTAAAGATGCAATTTAGTTTGGTGGGACTGAATGCCAAAAAATGCCAAGCTGCAATTTAGTTTGGTGGGACTGAATGCCAAAAAATGCCAAGCTGTTTTCTCAGGCTATAGTAGCACTGATTAGCAGAAATTATCTTCCTTCTAATTTCCTTTTCTTTATGTTTTTCTGTGTTATCATAGAGCCTAGATAAAGAAATTTGGTGACTTGCTCACCTCGCTAGTCTCTGATTGTCACCATCTCATTGTTTCCAAGCGTCTCTTCGGTCACTATGTATTTGGTTTTCTCCTGGTTCACCTCGATCCCTAGCTCGGAGTTCCTCGGATAGATCTCCACCAGCATCCACTGAACGCAACACATCATTCATGCTCAGCCTTACCATACATATGAGCTTCTGAGGGATATGAAATTCCTCAATTGCTAGGTAGAGTTTTTCATGATTAATACTATCGTATGCGGCCTTAAAATTGATGAACAGATAGTTTGTCTTTTGTTTAAATTCGTGTCCTCTCTCCTATATGGTTATCAGGCTAAATATTTGCCCAACAGTTGATTTTACAGATCGAAATCCACTTTGGTAGGGATTGATCGCTCTATCAGCATTGGGAAGGAGACATGTGAATAGCACATATGAAAGGACTTTATATTTGAAATCCGTAAGGATATGCCTCTGTAATTAGTACACACTAGACAATTACCCTTCTTGTGAATCTGGCTGTTCATCAATTTTATTCATGCTATGGGTATTACTTCATCCACCCACACTGTGATAAAAGGGTTTTAAAATGCCTTCGCTAGTTTGTTGACTCTATATTATAAAAGTTCGGCAAGGAGTCCTGGAGCCTTGGTTCTTCAGCCTATTATTCAGCCTCAATCTCCTCCTCATTGGGTGGTTCAAACTCGGATTCCATATCTCTCACAGATAGAGCTCTCGTAACGGCCTCAGGGTTGACATCTGTGTCAGTTAGGGAGGTCTACAAAATGTCTTCTCCATTCAGCTAGGACTTCTGACCAATCAATAAGAAATTGCCTTCATTATCAAGGAAAGAGATCTGGGTACCAGTTGAATGCTTTCTGATCTTATTCTGTAAAACTCTCTTAACTCTTTTTTTCTGTGCAACTCTTCACGCTCTTTCTGACTCTTCTTCCTACGATGAAGTCTCCTGTATTCCTCGACATTACCTCTCGTTCCCCTCTGTGTCATAGCATAATAATCCACATTCTTTCGGTGAGTTGCATTTCCACGTTCTTCATCAAACTACGAGGAACAGCAGTTCTTCTGGGCTGCTGCGCAGTTTTGTGTGTTGCAGAAGTATAATTATTATTAATATTACCAAAATACATATCTTAATTCCCCCTCCCCCCTCCGTGTGATTAACCATAAAAAGTTTTATATTAATGAAAAGAAACTGAGAAGTAAATACTTTGTAGTTTATAAAAACCAATTTATCTAATAAATTAAACAATCAAGATTTTAAATGTTAACCACGAATATTAAGATAAATGGTTAAAGAGTAAACAAAAAGCTCTTATAAAAAAAGTTTTTCTGTGAAATTTCCAGAATTATGTCTTTGAGGATATAAATAATCAAAGATAAATAAATTTAGATTTCATTTATTTAACTGTCATAACTCCTATATTCCTGGTAAATCTGATATTTTATATAAATCATTAATGTATCAAGGAGCGGAGGATTGTTGCACCTTCTCCAGGGGAGTAGCTGAGAGGCCTGCGAACCATACTGGGGAGGTCTTGAGGACGCTATAAGCCCATAACTGTCCGTGTGTGGTGTAGAACCACACAGTTTTATAGAAGATCCCAACTGATTGGGAATACATTGTCATTATACCCATTCACAAAAAAGGGTCCGAGGCCAAATGCTTTAACTATTGTCCTGGAAGGATGATTAAGGCCCTTAGTCAAGCACCTTATTAGGGATAGCAAGCTGGGTTTAGACAAGGACGACAAACTCAGGATCATATGTTCTCCATCAGAAATGTTCTACAGAAATCTTGGGGCAGGGATAAAAACATGTACTTAGCTTTCCTTGACCTGAAAGCAGTATATTTGACACGGTTCCCAGGCATGAAATATGAGTGGTTCTTAAAACTAAAAACGTCCCAAGGAACTTAGTTGAGGCTCTAAAGTCCATTTATCAACACCCAAAGGGAGTTGTTAGGCTGAACGGATTAGAGTCCGGTTGACATGGCAAGGGGTGTCAAGCAAGGATATAGTTTGAGCCCATTGCTATTTCTAATTTATATGGATGAGGTGGCAGCCATCTGTAAAAGGAGAACAGAAAGGACGTTCCTGAAGAGAAGAAACCTACGTCCGGTAGTGATGCAGCTTCTGCTATATGCCGATGATGTTGTCCTTGTTGCTGATTTGGCTGAAAAGTTGCAGCAGACAGTTACTGAATGGTATGAGGAATTCTACCAAAAGTAAGTTACTACAAGTGGGAAGGTAAAATGAAGGCATATACACTGCATTGGAGAGAAATAAGAAGTGTTCTCAGACTTTACCTACCTAGAAACTGTTATAGAAAGATCTGGAGAAGTAAACTTAAAAATATCCAATAGAATAAGCTAAGCAAATGCAGTCTACTACCAGATTTGCCACACCGTTGTAGGAAAGTGAGAGGTAGATAAGAACGTCAAGCTCCGATTTTTTATTAAACCAAATTTTTATATGGTGCTGAAAGCTGGATATTGACAGACAGGAATGAGAGGAGAGTCACTGCTGCTGAAATGAAATATCTGTGAAGAACAGTCTGTAAGACTAGGAAAGACCGGGTTTGTAACGAAAGTATACGCCAGGAGCTGGGGGTCGCCTCATTGAAGGAGGTTCTACAAATCCACCAATTGAAATGGTTTGGCCATGTGATTAGGATGGAGGAACATAGGGACCCATTGAAGACAATGGACTATGCTTCGGGTGGCAAAAGACCTCGAGGATGCCCAAGAATGTCATTGGAGTATATCAATAGACAAAGGAAGAGGCAAAGATCTCCGTCGAGCCAGGAACCTAGCAAAGAACATAGAAGGGTGAAGTTCGTTGCTGCTCACCCCCTTACACTGAGAGAGACGAAAGGTAGAAGCTAAAGAACAAGAAGATTAATGTATCCCTGAGGTTGATCTTTTGCTAAAATTCTCCCAATCTTATTAATATGAATAATATACTAAAAATTATTTGTAAATTGCTTTCTTTTACTTTAACATTAAACCATAGGCAGGCATCAAAATTAAAAATATGTGAATTTCATATTTAGTTATTGGTAATTTTTTTAGTGTTAAATTTTTGGTGATATGAGAATTTATCTTGTTTAATTTATCATCATTTTAGTGTATCTGTTGATAAAATAGAATTTAATATACAGTTTTGTCTAACCTACATAAAGTTTAAAACATTTTATGTTATTGTTATTCTTTTTAAAAGATTCGATATAATCTTACCGTAACTATAAGCATTGCAATTAAAATTATATCATTAAATTAATTTCAAATTTTTTATTAACTAAATTAATTAAGGAAACATTTGATTAACTCTTCAGGTCACCATCACCTAAAAGAAAGAGAAAGGAACGTTCTCCTACTCCGAAGCCGGTCAGAATTCATGTCGGACGTCTTACACGAAATGTGACAAAGGATCATATCTTGGAAATTTTTTCAACATTTGGTACTGTTAAACAAGTGGAATATCCAATTGATAGGCTTCACCCTCCTGCTGGGCGAGGATTCGCTTATGTCGAATTTGCAACTCCAGAAATGGCTGAGAATGCTATGAAACATATGGATGGTGGTAAGTAATAAGTTTACTCAACTTTATATGTATATATAGGGTGTCCGGTAAGTAGAGGGAACTATTTATAGCAATGATATCACTTCAAGAGTGATACAAAATTGCATATAAACAAACAATAAGCCAATTTTCAGCAGAAAAGTAGAAAATCCCTGTTATGTCGTTTTTTTTTTTTTTTTTTTTTTTTTTTTTTTTAAGTAAGTCGTGTTTTTTGTTGAATAGGAAGTGATAATTAAAAAAATATTTAATTTAAGTAAATAACAATTGCTTCACTGTAAACTATAAAAAATTTAATTTAAATGAAAATAGTTTTTCATTGTTAAAACCATTTAAAGAGGACTATTGAGCAGCTGAACTAAGCTAAGTTCTGTTTTTAAAAAAATCATAACTTATTCATGATTTTTTTTTTTACCATCAGCCAACTATACTGCAGGTACTCCATGCTTAGAAAAACTTCCTCGAGGTTTATTATTATTCCTTTGAGATTTTTTAGGGAAATTAAAATTCACCTCAAGTTGTAGAAAAAATGATGTGATTTTTTTTTATCCTGTCACCTAATTACTTAAATTAAATATTTCTTTAGTTATCACTTCTTTTTCAACATAAAATATGTTACTTAATAAAAAACAAAAAACTTAGATTTTCTACTTTTCTGCTTAAAATTGGACCATTGTTTATATGAACTTTTTAATAGCTCTTGAGGTCTGCTATCACTCCTGTAAAAATTTCCTTCTACTACACCCTGTATATCTTCTTTTTTTTTTCAAGATAAATGTTTTAGTTAGAATTTATTGTAATGCCAATTTTAGTAATCTGAGAATGGATTACATTTTACAAAAGAAAATATGTAAAACAAAAGTTTATTAGGCAAGAAAAAAAGATGAATGATGTCCCCAACGCAGAGTTATAGACCAGTAACGGCCGTTGTCGGAGTCAACCATGTGAAGCCTTGACGATATAAAGATCTCTGTGTTGAAGCGAAGCAGCGGTTAGTCAAATAGCAGCCCCTTTGTGTGTGATTATGGAAATAAAGTTGTCAATTGAAGAACCTCTTTGAAACAAAAATTCTCATGAGTTGGCTAAAAGGGGTTGGCATGGCACAAGTTGCGCCATCAAGATATTTCATGGGAGTACATTTTGACAGAGTTAGGAATTTCCGGAGGAAATCATATTTTTGTGGATAATGTTCTAAAGGAACTTTCTATAATAAAGTTCTAGATTTATGCTAAAAGTTTAACTTGTATTATTCGATTTCTTAAAGGCAGTTCCATTAAATGAAAAATAAACAGTAATTGGGCTTAGATTAGAGTTATAATTTGTCTTAAATGAATTACACATGATTCTTATGTATCGTTTGATTGAGTAGCTATGAATAAAAGTAAATTTTTAGCAAAATCAACAGAACTTTTAAATAAAAGCTTTTTTATAAAAGTTATGAAAAATCTTTACTTGAAAAGTTGCTGAGAAAATATTCTAGTTCACTATTTCACACTAAAAAAAAGTGAAAACTATAAACAATAAAAATTAAAAGTTTGTTTTCCGTTTTAATTCCTGGCTCAAAGTAAGCTATTAAGAGGCTTTTGCTTAATGCAATGAATAGCATATCATTTTTTAGAAATCTTTCCAGCAAACGCTCTGATGTAGGCCTGAAACTTGGACCGAAACGTTGGAACAAAGCAGATAAAAATAAATATAATTTATTTATTTTTAATTTGTATTTTGACTGAAAACTCCAACCAATTTCTCTTTCAATTATTTACTACAGTCAATCATTCACACTAATAGCAATTCACGTAAATAGCATATTAATTGGCAAGAGACCACATGGGAAGTCAAAAGCTAATGGATAGATATAATCAACAAAGAGACAGCTGGTCTGCTTGCAGCAAACTGTAAAGGAATCACAGTTCAAATCTTGGTCCCCGGTGGGACTTATTAACTCAGCATAAGTCCCTTGACATCTCCCAACCATATTTGAATAATTTGACAGATAAAAGATGGATTATACACTTCTTTTCTTCTTTTTGCTGGATGAATTATATAATTTTTACCATATCTGACTAGTTTCTTGGGAGTGAAAAATGATTCTAATATGTTTTTTAGGACAAATTGATGGTCAAGAAGTGACATGCGCACCTGTTCTCCTACCTAAGGTGATGAATAGGAGAGGTCGATCACCACCCCCAAGGAGGCGGTGGGGTAGATCCCCTCCACCCCCTCCAGGAAGATTCAGGCGGCGGTCACCACCTCGTCGAAGGTCCCCCCCTCCGAGGAGAGCTCGTTCACCACCTCCAAGAAGGAGGAGGTACACTAGATCATCATCATCTTCATCCCGATGATAGTTATTTTTTATATTTATGCAGGAAATAAGTCAGAAATGCATATCTCAAGAAGTTATTTTTAAATATTGTATAATTTTCTTGACATTCTTATTTTTCAACAAAAACTCACTGTTTATTTTAACTGATAATCGCACTTTCTTTTCATGAGTTATCTGAGTGGTTTGTTTTTATATTGTAATTTTTTTTTAATTTGTAACAAATTTGAGATATGAAATTCTTATTTTATATATTCTTTTTTTTGTTTTTTTCATATTTTGTTCTAAGCAATGGATAATTTTATTATAATTATCATATAAAAAGATTTTTTTTCTTGAAATTATATGGTTAATAAAGAATGGTAAATATTGTAGAATTATGTTTTATGGACTAAGAGATATGTAGATTGATGAGGATCGTATGAAATGTTTTTTCTCCTTTAGGACTGTATAATAAATTTTGTTTTATATAATTATAATTACTACTGAGGAAAGGTCAACATGCATCACTGAACTGATAAGAAGTGCCATGATGACATCAACTCAAAATTAAATTTTCATACTGTCTCATATTATTTTACTACAATTTGATCATGATGGAACTTATCTTTTCAATTCCCATTTCTTAAAGTGTTGTTTAAATCCAACCAGTTAATCATTTCTTTTCATATTTATCTTATGTTACCAATCTATTGGTATTATAATTGACTATTTTTGTTGATAGTTTTATAACATTTTGTATTATTTTAATAAGAAATGTTATACATTTTTTAAATCTCTGATACCTGCAAAGAATATACAGTAGTAATTGTTACAAATAAAAAACATGAATGTATATTAATCTCTTAATCTGTTGCTAAAACTTCCATAATTCTTCCTTGCAATGCACTCCCTAAAAGCAATCAAAAAAAATGTTTTTCTTTTTTTGTTTCTGATTTATTTATAAATAACATTGAATTAAAATTTCTGGTAATATTCAAGAATAGGCAAATTACTTTTTGTCATTGGCAATTTATCATGGTGCTGAAATGAAACAAAATTAGATCTATATTTAAAAAAAAAAAAATTATATATTAATTATTGCCTTTATATTATGTCAATAGAATACAATTTTTATTTAGGTAATAATAGATACCTGGTAAAGTCTATTTTTTTAATAAAGTTGATTTTAGTCAGCTAACGATGACAAATCCCAGACTTGCAACCAATGGTTTCAGAATTGGCACTTAGTCAATCAGTAGGATTTTAAAGTTTTTGTTCTATATATAGAAATCATGGTAGAATTTTATTGGGCTGCTAGGAGCCGAATGGCCTAATAGCCAACGGCAGAGGCGGTAAATAAAAAAAAGTTCTATTTATAACAACAAATTTTCCCTAAAGTGAAGGTATTTATCAATTTAAAACTTCCCTCCTCAAAACAGAGAAGTATTAAAAACCAAAAGCGTAGTATGATGTATGAATACGATACAAATCCTGTGCAAAAAAAACATATGACAAGCCAGGAAAATGAAATTTCTATTAAGTACTACTGGGGAAAAAATAAGATATAAAATTAAATCAGACCATTCAGAAGTTTAACAGTTCTGTAGCCGTATAAGCACTGAAAGATGCCAGGCAAATTATTATGAGTGTGTCTAGTGCCAAGGGCGTACGCACCTTACCCTAGTCCTGTCATAATTATTGTTACTAGGAATTATATACAGATTACAACAGAAAATGTAATTTTTTCAAAAACTTTATTAGAAAATAAAATGTATATCTATAGAGAGTATATCTATGTTTCGATGCCGACTCCACCAATCGCTTATTACACACATCCCTCCACCGTTCGCCGTCCAAACACAGTCCCTTCAGATCGGCTTTAATGCAATCTTCCCACCTTTGCTTCGTTCTACCCCTCGGACGCTTACCATTCGGCACAGCAAATATTAACCTTTTAGGAATTCTCTCGTTACTAAGCGCAACAACTTTACAAGCCCATTTGATTCGCCGCGATGAAATTACCTCAATTATATTACCCGGATACAGTTCACGCAATTCGGCGTTGTGTAACCGTCTGAACTCTCTGGTTTACTCATCCTTCTTCGGTCCGAATATTCTACGCAATACTTTATTTTCAAAAACCTTAAGACGCTGCTCATCCCTTAATGTAAGCGGGCCAAGTTTCGCATCCATAAAGAACTGTAGGCAAGATAATTGTTTTATAGATTCTTATTTTTAAGTTCCGGAACAAGAGGCGCGAACTGAGTAGTTTTGCCACAGAAAAATAACAAGCATTTCCCGACTTCAGTCTAACCTTAATCTCTTCTTCAATTTCGTTTTTTCTAGTTATCGTAGAACCTAGATACCTAAATTTATCTACCTGTTCAAACATATTACCATCTATATCAATATCACCAGTAGTATCGCCATTTTTGCAGCTAACCATACATTTTGTTTTATCCACGTTAATTTCAAGTCCTAGTTTTTTACCGGCTTTCATTAACGTTGTCGTATTTAGTTTTATAGTTTCAACATCTTCACTTAACAGTACCAGATCATCAGCATAGCCCAGCACGGATGTTGTCCCACCCAGATCCAACCCTTTCTCGGTACGCATTACTTCCCTAATGGCATGTTCTAATGCCAAATTGAACAGGACAGGCGAAAGGGAATCCCCCTGTTTTAAACCCGAACGAACCTGAAGTTTTTCCGGCAGATTATTACCAATTCTAACTATATTGAGTGTCTCCGTCAAGCACATCCTGACTAGATTTACTGGTTTTTTTGGAATCCCCTGCTCGATTAGAATATTATACAGTTTCTGGCGGTCAATAGAATCGTAAGCCTTTTTAAAATCTATATACAGCTGGTGGACAATACCGTTGTATTCCAATTTTTTCTCTAATATTTGCCCTAAAGAAAAAATTGATCAATAGTTGAACGATTCCGTCTAAATCCGCATTGGTAGTCTCCGATAATTTCCTCGGCATATTCCGTGATTCGACTGGTTAAGATTAAAGTGAATATTTTATAACATACTGGAAGGAGTGAAATTCCTCGATAGTTATTACAATCCGTCCTCGGGCCCTATTTGTGAATCGGAATAAGAATAGATTCTTTCCATTCCTCAGGTAATTTCTCGTTCACCCAGATCTTTTTAACCAACTGATATATTTTAGAAACTCCAGCTTCCCCGCATGCCTTAATTATTTCAGTAGGAATATTATCGGTTCCCGCTACTTTATAAGATTTTAATTTTCCGATAGCTATTTCAACTTCCTCTTTACTTGGTCCTTCTATTAACGGTTCGGCACTCTGGTACTCAGAAGGAGGACACAGATCATAATATCCCGTATTTAAAATATTGTCAAAGTGGTCCTTAAACTTATTCAATATGTCAACCGGATCGGTCAGAATATTGTTATTATCATCCCTAATTCCAGACGTTACGGGCCCTACATATTTACGTGATCTGTTTATACCTTTGTACATGTCTCTTACGTTATTTTCGATTCTATTAGTTTCTATTTCAATTATTTTGTTTTTAAGATACTGCCTTTTTTTATTTTTGAGCAATTTTGTCGTTTCGTTCTTTGAGGTTCGGAAGTATTCCAGATTGTCTTTCCTAGGATTATTTAGAGCTTTTAATTTAGCGGCTTTTCTTTTTTCGCACATGTTTAAGCAATCTTCATCAAACCACGGTTTGTTATTCTTATTTTCCTTTTTTCCTAGACACAAGTTACCGACCGCTTTAATATTATCCCTGATCTCTACCCATAACTTGTCAATATCCTCGTGGTCCTCGTCAGGAAGCTCTAAACCTTCAAACCTATTCTTAATATCTAGCTCGAATTGGTTTCTAATTGATGGATTTTTTAATTTTTCCAAATTAAAATTCTCAAAATCGAAACGGTTTTCTTTTCTCTTTTTTATATTAAGTTTTTGTCAAAGTTTCGCGATTACCAATTCATGATCCGACCCACATTCTGCTCCGCGATAAGACCGTACATTAATTATCCTGCTTTGCCAGCTATGTTGTATCAAGACATGATCGATTTGATTTCGTATTTGCGAATCCGGTGATGTCCAAGTATATTTATGAATATCCTTATGTTTAAACGTCGTACTTTTAGTTATCAGGTTTTTCAAGATGGCAAAGTTTATCAGAGGGATCCCATTATCATTACTATATTCGTGCAAACTTTCTTTACCAATCGTTGGAATATAAACTTCTTCCCTTCCTACCTTTGCGTTGGCGTCACCTACAATTATTTTCATGTAGTTTCGCGGTAGTTTATCATAAACCCATTCGAGTTTATCGTAAAATTCACTTTTGACTTCATCGTCACTGTCTTCGGTCGGACAATGTATGTTTATTAATGCGATTTTAAACCAACGTCCCTGAAATATAGCTACCGAAATTCTATCACCAAACAATGATTCCCGCTTCCTCCGTACCAAATAGTCTACTTTCCTTCCCTCATCGAGCCCTTCCGTGGCCAGCAAACCTCTTGCAGAGCCACGACATCCAAATTGTACCCATTTACATCATTCGCGACCGATTTCAGCCCCCCTGCTGTGTTTAAACTCCTTACGTTCCACGTAACAATATTTAAATCCATATATTTCAACTTGCTCCATGAATCCCCTAAAGCAGTCCCCACCCGGAGACCCGAACGGGGGACTAGTTTACCTCCGGATAATGAGCGTTTTACCTTAGGGAGATCCATGACTATTTGTGGTGTTTGGTGAACTAAAGATATGTGAGTAGGTGTGCGTTCAATCCTACGTCACACCCTCCAGCAATTCTGGTGGGCCCCTACCTCCCTCCAGCAAGTCTGGAGGGCCCCTCTCATTGTTGGTTGGTGAGTCCATCGGACTTAGCCGGGAGGAACTTCCAAGGAATTTCCACCGACCATCCCCACATCCGCCACCCGTAGGACGCTCCCCTTACGCGCGAGGAGTTTACTGTTATTACTATTTATAAATATTTGTATATGAAAAACACGAAATACCTTGATGAACAATTTTTTAAATTTAATTTCCTTGCATTTTTGGCAAACCTTTTGTATTATATCATGTTTTATTTTCTCTCAAACTATTTAAGGGAGGCAATGCCCTCCCGTGTGTATGCCCATGGCTAGTGCCTGTTCAATTATGCAAATACCCTCATATCTGCGATCCTCCCAGTGTTTTGACAGCTGTTTGCCAGTTTTATCACATTTACTCATTGTTGAGCTGTATTGAATTAACACATGAACCATCTCTTTGATTCCTGGAGACTTCTTTTGTAAATATTTAATAACATTTTCTAAATTATTTTTAGTTAGTTAAAAATATTTTCAGAGAAATGCTATCTATCTTTTGGAGTAACCCTAAAGAAAAGTAAATGGCAGATACCAACACATAATAGTATTAAGTTTCGAAATTTTTGAATTGAAGTTTTATGTTAAAAATAAAAATTTTATGACATACACAACTGCAGGTGATTGATTAACATAGACTATGAAATTGATTTTTTGTTGATTAAATCCAGGTATTACTAATATCCTTTTAAAACATAGTTTAGTATTGCATTCTAAAGCTTTTTTATAACTCCATGTCTGGTTATTTTTAGTTTTGTTTGGCAGCCTGAGGGCGAACTTATATGGTAATAAGTTGAAACACATTTGGTTTTTCCATAAACCTCTGACATAACTTACAAAATATTCTGAAATATACATGTATATTAAAAGGTATCGTAATCTTTCAATTTATATATATATATATATATGTTAGTAAATATTTTGTAAACAATATAAGATGATTAAGTAAAAAATAAAATTTTATGTTAACTCAGTAACTTATGAGTTCACCCTCAGGCTGCCAACTAATTGTTGTCAAAGTATAACTACTATTTTTCTACACCTTTATATTTCTTATTCTTCTTGAATATTACGTATGCTGGAGAAGATAAATGAATACAATGTTGATCTCCATCATCTTTTCATAGATTTCCACCAAGCATATAATATAATATAATAATTATATAGCATATAAGCACCAGATGCTGGGTGAAATATAAAGCACTTTGTCAGAAGAATTTGAGAAAGCGAATGGTTTATGCCGACCAGACCCTTCTCTCCTGTATAATAAAATATTATATTAGAGCAAGCATCCAGAGCAATTAAGACGAATCCAATATATAATAGATTTACCCCAAAGTTGGCTTATGGCAATGACATGGTAATAATATCAAGTTCCAAAGTCACATCATCAGGAGCTTTACAGAAATTTGAAGATGTTAGGAAAAAAATTAGGTCTTAAGATAAATAAGGAAAAACCTAATATCCTCAAAAAATAAGAGATTGAAAGGATACGATAGCATGAAACTGCTCCACCACACATTTTTATGAAAGTTGGCAGTTTGAAATACCTAGAAGCTTTAGTGATGGACAAAAATCACATCACAGAAGAAATACAAGAAAGAATCATTGCAGGCAAGAGATATATTTTTGCATATTGCGTTTTCAGAACCTGTCATGGAAGGCAAAGCTGCTTATTTATAAAACCATCTTGGGACCAATTTTATTTTTCTCAGGTGAATTGTGGGTCTTTACGCAAGAATGTGAGATCTTCTGGATCTGGGAAAGGAAGGTACTTCGATAGATCTTTGGACCAGTATGAATAGGTGGCCAATGGAAATTAAGAAGCATGTTGAAAGGATGGGAGAAGATAGCTAATCGAAAAAACTATGGCAAAAGTAGGAAAGGAAAGCTGTGTTTGATCAATGATCTGGTGGACGATCCACAGAGGATAGGAATTGGACAAAGTAGAAGCTTGGCCCAATAAAGAAGGCTTGGAGAGCCATATTTGAGGAGGCCAAAGGCTGTAGAGCCATTGAAGTAAGTAAGTTACTATATACTAAAAATTAAGAATTGCTCTTCCGATGATATAAAAACAACTCGTTTAGAGATTTTATCGAAGTTGTGTGGCTAACTTTATCCCATCAATATTCCCAATACTGAAACTAAGTACTGATTTGGTTGGCTAAATTTCTTCCATTAAAGAGATGTTAAGCCTTATATTTCATCTTTACTTTTATTGAATTGTTAATAATATAATATTTTTCATTATTTCAAGTACATCTGTTTCCAGTTTATCACGGCACCTCTTGATGACGTAATTTCTAGCAGCTCTTGAAACTTTTATGAAACTCTTCAATGAAGTTCCATTTTTACAGTTTTGAAGGAACTTATATCGATTTCAGAATAAAAATATTGATTTTTGATAGAAAGATTTCGGTTTATTGTAGAAGCTTAACTTTTAATTACTTATTTTATTTAACAGAACTCATATTAAATTAGAAATAAACCATAAGTGGACTTAAGTATTTTTCTTGTTTGAGCAGCTGATATTGTAATATATACAATTTACACTTACCATTTTTGAAATTTATTTTTTATCTAGGTTTTGCTTGTTTTGTCCTGTGAAGATTTGTTTATTGCCTTAAAAGTTTATTAATAAAGATTTAAGCTTATGTATATGGGTCTTTTTAGATATCTTGGATATTTTTTAAGCATATGTTATCATGGATATCTCATTACTAAATAAAGTATTAATATTATGTAATTATTAACTATGCTGTTTATTGAATTTTTTGTGAGATATTTCTAAATAAATGACTTTGAAATATTGGAGGGGCTGGCCACCAATCATGAAGTATCTGGCAGAGGAAGATGATGCTCCTCTCTTTCCTTAGTTCTGACAACAATGGTCTTAATGTTATGTTTATGATGTGTTTTTTTTTTTTTTTTGTTCTGGATATGAGTGCCCCATACCATTCTTACATCCAATGTGAGGCAAGGTATTTGTAGAGTATCTGTAATTTGACCAATGGCATTGTAAGACAACTTTCATTTTGAAGAGTAAAAGTAATATTGATTTGGTCATGGTTTAGGCAATTTTTTTTAAGTTAGGCATAACCAGTGCTGGCTTTAAGGCCGGAAAGTTGCCTGGTATGTCTATCATTTGTTAAGAGTAAAAAAAAATTACAAAGTATTTGAAATTAACTAATTTTAGTCTGTTAATTAAAAAACTTATTTAGAGACATATTGAATGAAATAAAATTCAAATAATTCTTAATATAAAACATTGAGAAATGAATTAAATTTTTGGACATTGCCCAAGAGTGCCAAATGTATGAGGCTGGTGATACTTATGATGTTTTATCGGTTTATTAGTGAAGTCTGTGAGGGTTGCATAAGATTTTGATGTCTTATTAGAATTTTTTTCCTTCCGCATAGGTCACCATTAGTCTTCAGAATATTATCGATACAAATGATCTATATGTAGATTTATAGTAATACCTTAAGTAGGGAATTAAGATAGAAAGATAGTCTTGGTGAAGTGAAAAAAAATCTGAGAGAGAAGCTTCTGATGACACTATTTTTCACTTGTTTTGGAAATTCAAAATGAAGCACTGGTTGACCTGGCTTTTAGACGTTCAAATTTTAATCTAGGATGTTTAGCTTGGTGTATCTCATTGTGAATTATGATTTAATCTCATAGAATAATTTGCATTTATTAATTTTATGTATTTTTAATGAATTAAGTTTTGTTCTAATTATTAGTTTTTGACTGATTTACTAATTATTAAATTACTCACTCATTTATATTGTCTCAAAAAAATAATATTTCACATAATATAACCATATAATTATTTAGGTAAGGATAGGAAAGATAACAATCAAATAATCCAGTAAATAATTTTATTATCAGAAGTATTCTTAAACACAATTGAGCATTTCTTTAAGTACTAAATTATTATATAAAAAATTTGTACCTTAATTCTAAACGTAATAAATAGTAAATTTTATTTACAATCAGTTCTTTGTTCATAAAAAAAAAAAAATAAATGAATGCAATATAATAAACATTGTCAAATCCATTAGCATGAGAAAAAATAATAAACACAATAATTGGAATCAAATCATCAGAATAATTGTGCTATAATTATTACAAAGTTTTTTTTTACAATGATGCATGATATGTTTGATAGATATATTATTTCATTTTAAAATCAGTGTATTAATTTATAGCCAAGATTAATTTCTTAATAAGAACGTTTTATAGCTACAAATGATATTTCTAAAACATTTTCAGATAAAAGATTGATGCAGCTACGATAAATTTATTAAATTTTTTTTATGATACATCATAATGTCAATGAAAATTGTATAAACAAATTTTACTAGGATACCCTACTACGCTGTATTTGTAGAATATTTGAACCTGTATTTATAGCTTACACAGCTTTCGTGTTCAATAGTCACATAAGTAATTTGTTGAGAAAAGGAGATTATAAACATTATGATATGTTCTATTTGATGTCTAGGATAAATTCAATGAACACAACAGAAAGCCAAATCACAGAGACTCAAAGTAAATGAGTGAGATTTGAACAATATAACATTGACATTTTCTCATTAATAGGCTTAATTAGCCAGTTCAAAATACAAAAATGGGGCAATCGGACGGTAACAATTTACCCAATTTATAAAACTTGGGTGTGAAATGCGGTAATGATTGCCCAATGTTTATAATAGTGCATTTGACTCATAATAAATAATTCATAGCGTACAAACTAATTTAAAATTACTCTTTGATATATACAATTACAAAAATTAATTGGAATAGGTAACTAGTGAGATTCACTTTTTACCCTTGTCTTAACAAATAATAAAATAAAATGAAAATAATGAGATCACAGCACTTTAATACTGGTCCTAGGGTTGCATCAGAGAGTCACTACCCCAGTAGACAGATTCAGTCCGGACTGGTCACGAGCTGGTCCCCGAAGGAGATGCGTGCACAGGGATAATATAGATGGGCTCTCTTTTCTCAGCAGCCTCTGTGTAAGGAGGCGGTGCAAAGAGATGGTATGGTGGAGGTGGCGTCTCAGGTGCCCTATTATAGCCTTGATGGTTATATGGAGGAGGTGCCTGGCCGTTGCCCCTGTAGAGGTGCTTTGAGGCGCAACACCATTCTGAGAAGGTTACCACCAGAAAGAAGATGATAAGTCCGCTGAAAGCTCCCAGGTACCATACCACTGAGAGAGGATCCGGATCTAGCCTAGCAGGTGAACCACCATTTTCTTCTGAAAAAAGAAAAGTTATTAGAATAACAGAAGTGACTGAATATTTTACTGAATGTAATTTTAATTATTCATTAAAAATACAAGTACATATTGTTTGACATTTTTAGTTTATTCTAACCAATGTAATTGATTTTATTTTAAGGGCACATAGTTACTTTTATATTTTGTTATAGTGATCTTTCAAAATATTTATTTTGTTTAATGGTTTTGGCCTATTTCATTTCATTTATATATACTTAAACTGTATTTACAATGTTGTTCCTTAATTCAATTGCTTAAAATACTCCAAAACATTGATGAAAAATTGTTTTTATTTGAGCAGTAAAAACAGTTGCTCTGGACAGTTTTAGCTAATGAATTATTCACATTATAATTAATATAGGATAGATTCAAAGACTTTTCAGCAATGTTTTAAATCCTGTTTTTCTTGAGTATTGATTTTTTTTTTTTTATTAATTATTCTAAGGGGGTATTAAATATTTACCATATTTGGGTTTGGAAGCCTATTCCTTAGTACTGCATGGGTTCAGAATTCTCTAAATGTTTGTTTCACTTTTTATGCAATTATTGTTAGTACTTTTTGTGTATCTAGAGACTCATAAACACAAAATAAATGTTTCAGTTTTATGATTTTACCTTGGGGACATTTTCATAATTACGACAAGGAAAGATGGATGATATTCATTAGTGAGAGCAATTCTGCTAAGTGAGTGTTTAGAATATTAACAAGTGAAATAGCATTAATAACCTTAGAAAACAAATACTCATCAAAGGAAAAGAGATAAGAATTATTAGTGTCTGTTTCATTAGGTGTAGTAAACATGTTTACTGCTTGTCTTTGATGAACTCAACTGAATTCTGTAATGTTTATTTTTTAACATTGCAAACTTATTTGAATAATTATGACATTAAATTCAGAAATTTAGAAAGGATTGAAGTTAATTTATAGACCACTCTATAATATAATCTTGTTTAATTGACTATACCATAATCTTCGGGATTTAATTATTTTTTTTGGGGAGGGGGAGGCTTCAACCCAAAAGCTTTCTTTTCATATATATAAGAATAATTAATTTGAAAAAAAAAGAACGGTAACTAGCTACCTATATGATAGGGTGTTTAAGTGATTCTTGAAATCCTATTAAATGTAATTACACGAACAATAATACTTTAAGAGATAGTTTTAGATATTTTTTTTTTTTTCTATAAAACATGTTTATATTTTACCATTTTTGGAGGATGGTTTCAGTAGGAAAGCCCTCCTCCTCCCATAGATCCCCCTGTGTAGCTAACCAAATTTTCTGGAGGTTTGGTATATCCTATATTTCTAACCATCTACCAGCTACCCATAGCATAGCCCAGGGGAAAGGGTAGCTGTTGCTTCACTGTTGCTGTTATAAGATTCAAAGAATAAAAATTAAACAACCAAATTTCTGAAAACTGATCGATAGTGACTGGTTGATTTTTGATATTTTCATATTTTGAAAGAAACTGATTTAGAAAAACCTACACCCTCATCCAATGTCTAATAACTCTATTATTAATCCAATGTCCAATTGCTGATTTACGGGAGGAGAGGGACTTATTTAGGGGTCTCAGAGCCCTCAAACGATACCGTTTTTTTTTTGGTTAACGGTAACTACTATGCAACAAAGAACATATGAAATGATATTTAATTGGTCCTTGAAGGCCACTAATAAAAAGAAAAAATTGTAATTACTGAAATAATAAGTTTTTAGGAATATCTTTTAGTTCATTTTTTTTCACATTCTTTTATATAGCAGTCATATGTACGTTACAATTTAATTTTTTATTTATAAACAATAAATAAAAAAGCTCCCTAACTACTCCTGGATCCACTTCAAGTCGGAAGCAACGCTGGTTCAAATCAGGTCTGGAAGGATTGACTGATTGATGAACCCTTGCAATAGATAGCGATCTATGAATCCAAAGAAAAATGTCGATCTCATCTTGGATTATAGCAAACCTATAAAATAACCTTTCTGCTCTGTGTTCCTGGACACATGGGCGTTAAACCTAATAAAGAATGATACAGCTAATATTAATCGAATTATTAGTGGATTTATAAATAAATTATCGAGGAATATAAAAATAACCAAGCGACCCAATAACCGGGGACAGAACAAAAGGACAGAGGTTAACAGAACATATTGATCAATCTTTCAATTAATTAGCAGGTCCCAAAGGTGTTCCTTCAGTTCTTCAGGGGTGTCATGGACCTCACACAATGAGATAAATGATAAGGATATTTTTGGTAGAATAGTATCTTGTTGAATTATGCAGATACCACCAATCAGATCGATTGTAGCAGTAATAAACAATTTTCTGCTCATTAGCAAATAATAACGTTTATGCATCCTATAAAGAGTGAAAATATGAATATATTTTCAGTTAAAACACTAAGGAGAATGATGTCTGAACCTCAAGTGATATCACGCTACACTTGCCGATTGGCAGTTCGTTTCAGGGAAGTTGTTTTTTTTACTTTCATTTAAGAAATCAGTTTGAAATTTCGATTCATTCATCTTCAATTTGCTATCTCTTTGTTTAAAACTGTCCAAAATATTTTGGGGAATTTGTAATTATATCAAAAAACGTGTTTACTCCAAAACCTGGTTGTCTATTACTGGTGCAATTTACACTGTCAGAATTTCTTAGGTTTTTCATGAATAATTAGCTGTATAGGGAAAAAAAAATCGATAAAATATTGTATTTTCTGGCAGTTAAATCTATTCGCAAAGATCCACTATCAGAACTAAAGCTGTTTACGTCGATGATTCTCTTTAGTGTCTATTACCGGTACGTTTACCATATGTGAAGGATATGTAACTTGGAATGAGAAAATTAATTTTTATTGCTTTCAAACAATATATTTTCGTTCTATTCAGTGAAGTATTTAATGTAATTTTATAAAATTAAATCAAGAAGGAATTTGATGAATTTTTTTCCTCCGTTAGCATTTTTTTTTTTATTTATATAAAATATTCGCTCGACGGTAAAAAAAAAACAACATTAAATCAACACTCATTTTTTTAAATTAGGAGAATACTTTAAATAGACCAACGAAACGGCACAATATTCTATGCACGACAGAAGGCAATTTTATTCGAACATAACCGATCCATATGATCCTTTAAAACGTACGGAATATATTTTGCAGATACAAATATATTTTATTTTGAAGCGAGTATCAAAGCAAGGAGTTTATACTGAAGGATATCCGTTGAGGGAAAAACTGCATAACCTTGGACATATTGTTTGTTCATAGCATAATTGATGTCTGTTGCATTCGTTTTCTCAGAACGGTACTTTGGAGTCTATGTAAAAAATTACGCAACGATATTTAAAGTTGTATTTTTTTTCTGTGATCACGCAAAAATACTGGTTTTTGATCCCAAGATAATTTGATCATAAAATTACAAAAAAAATAATAGCTAACAAAAATATTGGACCGTTTGGCCTATATAACCTAGTTATTTTGACTCTTGAAAGTACCGCCAAACGGCCTAATATGTTTGTAGGCGATCTTTTTTCTCGATTTTCTGATCAAATTATCTTACGAATTAAGCGGAAAGAAAACGAGTGCTCACGAGTCTTTAATACCTTATTAAATAGAGAAAGTTTACCAATGTCTAGATTTAAAACGCCTCATTTCCAAGAATTTTCGGATACAAAATTGTTGTATGTTACGATAAGATGAAGCCATTCACTTAGCTTTAGACGGATGATAATAATTTGATAAAATACTGCGTAAATAGAATATTAATAAACCTGTAGCTAGGATGTGAAGACTCATATCATAAGACTTTATATATTACGAAATATAATAATTTCAGGTATTTTATTTGCCTGTGTAGATTTTAAGCTTTAAGAAAAATGATTTGGTAATAGAGTAGATCGATCCGTGTGTATATCATACGCATATAACATAAATATATATGTTTACATAAACGAAAAAGATTTTCATGAATGTTTAATGAACAAATTACTGTGTTCTAAAACTAAATTAATTATTATTAATTTGCTTGACTTTATTAGTTTTATTTCGGTATAATTTATTAGTACCAACTTCAATCACAGCCATTTATAATTCAAGTAATTGGGAATTTTTTTATGATTATCATCTTTAAAAATTTAAATTATTTTACAGCGCCATATATGGCTCACATCATATCACCATATGCTTTCGCTTTCTACTCCCTACCAACAAACTTTTACTGTCTTTTGGCAATTAAAAATATGACTTTCTAATAATAGACACAATTTCCTAAGGAGAAAGTGCCCAGAACAATCACGCTTTACAGCCCAGTGACGTAAGAGGCATTATAACTAAAGGTCATATTGTACGACCCGTGAGACTCTCTCGATGGCTGTGTGCACAGATGGATGTTACGCACACGACAACGCTGCGCGTCAAGCCGAGTTGGATGTAACATAACAAATAACATGTTACCTACACGGAACCGTTGTTACAGCAAGGACACGCAACGATGGGAGCAACTTTTCTCAAGTATATCTACATAACATTAGTTTCAGATGAAATAACCGTTTTTTTTTTTTTAATATTTTTGTAGGCCACCTTTTTTACTCGAAATTGTTATCAAATTATCTTCCGATTCATCTGTACAACAAATGGTTATTCATGAAACTTTAGAACCTCATTCAATTAACTAATTTAATGTGAAAACGCCCCATTTTTGAGAATTTTCATAAATAAAAAAAGGTTGCGGTAAGATGAAGCGACTTACGAAGTTTTAGATGGGTGTTGATAATTTGATAAAAAAACTGTCTGTACACGAAACATTTCTTTAATTCGGGAAAAAAAAAGCCCAAGATTACATCACTCCATGACACCCAATCACATACTTAAATTGTGGCTAAACGTTTCAAAGTTTATTTTATTCTTTATCTGATTTATAGATACTGGCAAGTTGTAATTTTTTTTTCAATTATAACCTAACATTTATTTTATAAATAAATCTTAAAAATGTTCATGCATGATGATTTGGAAAAATATAAAAATCGTAATATGGTTCATGGTGTTTCTGGAATGTTTTAATTTTTTTTTAATATTTATTAAATTCCCTATTACGAGTGAGCCCTAGATTATCCCATTAAAAATCTTATTAATTGTATTAAATATTTCTAAAGAATAAGTGATGGAAGAAAGGATTTGTTCCTTATGGTTAATGATTTACATTAATTAAAAAATTACATCCGAACCTCAGTATAGTGCAATTATTCATAATCCGAACTGATTTGGATCACAAGAAAGTTTCGACTGCAGAGAGTGTTCAGAAAAACCATTCACAACAAAAGACTAAACTTATAAATACATAAAACTTTATTGATTTGATAAATACATAAATATTCAATTTCCTTTTGGGGAAGGATTTAGGATTATATAAGTAAGAATTTTTGTTAACAGTATTTATTCTCCCTAAAACTATTTATTTCCACTCCACTACATCTTGACGTTTCGGGATCTACTTTTATGTCTCATCTTCAGACAGTATTCTCATCCTATATCATCTTATTCTCTATAAGATTTATCATATTATTTATTATATTTTTTAGTGTTATGTTCCTTGAAATTATATTGTAGTCTCTGCAAGGGAGATCCTAGTCAGACACTGAATCAAACCATGAGCAAAGGATTTGATTCAGTATTTAACTAGGCTATCCCTAGAGGAGACTACAGTATAATTTCAAGGAATATAACAATAAATAATATAATAAATAATTTGATAAATTTTATAGAGAATAAGATGATATAGGATGAAGCGAGGATACTGTCTGAATATGAGATATAAAAGTAGATCCCGAAATGTCATGATGTAATGGAGAGGAAATGGTTTTGGGAGAATAAATACTGTAACAACAATTCTTACTTATGTACCTCGAAAATAAGTATCTCCCTTAGGATTAGTGAAGGATTTAGGATTATTGAAATAGCTTTTTACATATACACTCACACGCATACTTGTACACACGGCATAGCTATCAGTGGGGATCCTAACTTGACCAGCCAAATGATGAAAGCTGGCATAAAATAATTTTCACAATGAGTCGACAAAAAAAAAAACGATAATTTACGCCCTTGTCATTGAGGAAAGTCGTTATGATCTGAGAAATAATTACCTTAATTTATGCATAATGGTACCGAAATGCAGCATCATTAGTGCAGTAATAGGCACGGCAGAAAATAAAAGTACTCAGCCAGATTTAAAATGAGCAACGGTCCGGGACAATCAGCATTTGATTGGTCCATTATAAGCCAATATTAACAGCCTCAATAAAAGTCTAATAGCTTTCGGTAATAAAAATGTATTAACGGATATTATGATTTGTATATTGATGAAAAAAGATCTTCATCTGAGTCAATAAGACAATAACGATGAAATTAAATCGTTAAATTAATGATAACTTTAAAGTGAAAATATTCTATAGAAGCTTGAAGAAGCCGAACGTTAAAATTAATTATTAAATAAAATACAATTTTATAATAATATATAATTGGATCGTACTATGTAAAGAATATCTCAAGCAGTTAGAAAGAATTAGAAAATTTTGTAAAAAAAAAGGAAAGAAATTGTATGGTATGACGTTCAAGTGGTCTTGAAGGTCAGGTAAAAAAATAAGTGTTTACATATTTTGTTTTTAAGTCCGTAAACCGGGGTTACTTTGGGACTATGGGATGACTTCGTACTAGAGTTTATCTTGAATTTGAAATCAGGACTGGAACATTGTTATATCAAAACTAAACGAATGTTCTCTGAATGCAACAATGTTTCACACCGCCAGTTAATCTCATATTCAAAATAAACTCTAGTACAAAATCATCCGCAAGACTGTTAAAGTAGCCGCACTTTAGTGTATGTGTACATAATTTATAAACTTTTTATTAATAGTTCAAAAACTTTAGATTTTCCGAAACTATTATAGGTGCTCATTTAACAAAAAAATTGGACCAATATTAACGAATCGATTATTCTGTAAACCATTTTAATAATGGACTTCACAGGCGGATCTACTGGGGGGAGGGCTTTCGGGTTTAAGCTAGTCTCCTTCCTACAAAATGGTTAAATGTAACCATGTTTTTTGAAAAAAAAATTATCCCTTTAAGTATTATTGTTCGTGTAAATATATTTAATAGGACTTCAAGAATCACTTAAACACCATTTCATACAGGTAGTTAGTATTTTTATTTTTTTTTCCAAAGTAATTATCATTATATAAATGGAAAAAAAAGCTTTCGGGCTAAAGCTTCCCAAAATTAAATTCTGGACCGCTAGTGATGGATTTCACACCCAAAGCGATAAGGAACGTGAGTGAAGAATCATGATATTTTATTAATTGTATGCACTTAAAGGTTATTAATACACTTACATCGAATAACCTTTAAGAGTATAAAATATCATGAAATAGAATTTGTAGTCAGGTTTTGGAGATAGAAAATAGCACCTTTAAGACTTGGTGAATCATCTGGTCGCGGAATCGGGATCAGACAAAAATATCTTTGAAAAAAACGGTATGGTAGATATAGTTGGGCTAGATTAAATTGAATGCATTAACACATCCCCTGATGCAAAATTTGAAAGAACCATGAGAGGAAATAAGTCATCTTAAGATTTCAAGTCCTGAAACAAGAGTTCGTGATAAGCTTCAATTTAGTCAAGGGGTTGTTTGTCACAGACTATGTCCTCAGATGTATATGTAGTTTTATTTTAGTTTTAAAAACATACTCTATGACATTAGAGCTAATGATAAAAGGATTTTCCACTGGAAAACGTAACTAATTAAGTCCATTCTATCTCACTGACCTATCCCAAGGTCCTGACTGCCCCAGATCACCCCGAAGGTCTCGCTGTTAAGGCCGCAATAGGCAACGATGCTTGCATCTGATCTGTATCATCCAGCGCAATCATGTCCGGGTCTGGTCGGAACACCTCTGGAGGTTTTTCAGTCTCCAGCAAAATGTAGGATTGCTGTCTTAAAATTTAAACGGTTAGCTGCTACATGACCCTTCTTATCAGGATATTCTTTTTAAAACTGAGAACAACGTCAAAGATTGTCCTAAGACAAAACTAATTATCAGTGATCCAACTCAAAATAGATTTCTGAC